GACATTTCTAAGCCATCTATGACTCATTTTTTTTCAGTTTTGTTATAATTAATTTTGAAAAAAAAAAAAATTGTAATAATATTTTATTTTTTTTAATTTATTGTGGTGAAATTAATTTCTGTTGTATATCTATATTATTATTAAACATAATAAAAAATGGTGTGGCTTTTTGTTTTTATCTGTGCCATTATTAAAAGTAAATGAGGAATTTCAAAAATTTTTATTTTTTAACTTCCATGCGTGACGATCTAGTCCGTAGTTCCTACAAGCGATATTGGGGGCGCTAGAAGCAGTAAACTTGTCAGCAGTGTCAAATTTAAACGTCAATTTCACTTTCCAATATTTAGCAAGGCGCTCGCACTTCTCCTTGTATATGTGTTTTGTGGGTATATGTTAGCAGCCATTATTGTTTTATCATTCGGAAGCTCTATATAAATGTTCTGTTTTTGTGTAGTTTAAAAGAGATTTTAAGGTAAGTACAAGTTTTTAATTACCTTGTTACACCTTCCTAAGAGTATTATTAATATTATAGCAGCGACTCTTCCCTTACACGATACCCAGTTTACCAAATTTTGACTCCAATGAATGAAAACTCCAAATATTCTCGTATAATGATAAAGAGGTTAGCTGAGTTAGCTCTGCAATATATTTTTTTTTTAATTTGGAAATAATATAAATCTAAATAGATCAGAGAAAGAAAGATTTAAACACTTCAAAGAACTTCTTACACTGATATTTGGTAAGTTATTGATTGATCAATATACAGATATGTTAATATTCAATAATCAGTTTTATATAAAATTTATGTGAGATTGTTAATTGGAAATAAAATACAACAAAGTCCAACAGAGTGCCCGATGAATGAGTATGCTAATAAACCAACTGCTTGGAGGGAAAAGAGGAGAAAAAAATGACAAAAGGAGGTCCACCAAATCGTGGCGATATACCAGTGTTTCCCATTTTAGTATGTTGTTATACTATGTACTTATATTTTTAATACATTTTGATACAAATTCTGTTCTTTTACAGTGTTTTCTTACTTCTGGTTTCTGCAGTGTAAATAATTATTATTATTGTGTTATTTGCGCTATTGCGTTCCATGATATAAAGAAATATAAGAATTTTATTTTTGAACCACTTAATCCATTTTATGGAAGAAAAATGGTACATTTAATACAAAACAAAATGGAACAATTTTAAGGCTACTACTCTTGAACTTACGATCGAAATAGTTTTGGAAAATACAAAGTTTTGCCTTCCTAATTTTCGCTCTAAAAAGATATAATTGGTATCATTAAATAAATATTTCTTAAAAGAACGAAAAGTTAGCATCAAACTTGTATTATTTCCTAAATTCGTTCATAAGAAGTAGTTTTATCCAGCACGAGATGTATATACGAAGCCAAATAGATACGTATACACGCGGTAGTCACAACTCCAATGTGTAAACATAGTTTAAACGTAATACAAGCACTGTGTATCCCTTACACTGTGTATACGTAAATGCTATACTGTGGCTACATTGTGAGGCGGACGTTTAACCTTTGTGCATACGTGTTGAACTACAATGTATAAACGTAGCATATTTACATCGGGGGAATTGTGTCACCCTGTGTCTACATCTAATAATGTAAACACAT